TAAGAGTTTGTACTGTGTTCGTGCAGTAGGTGGCAGTGTGCACCAGCTTTTGTGCTGGATTTAGAACATGCATCAGGTTTTCTCTGCTGTACAACTATTAATGTAACTGTTTATTTTAATAAGGTTGATCTGTTATGATTGAAAATACTGACTGTTTCTGTTGTTACCACAGATAGTGTCACCTGGAAAGTTAAAAACGTAACTCATTGACATAAAGAAGTTATGTCTTTTTGAAAGGATGTGAATATGAAGACTTTACTACAATAAAGTTAATGGTTGATTAAACTAGCAATTAAATATTATTATTCATATTATTAATTAATAAGATGATTCGATCAGTAAAAAGATATTCTGGGTATTTTGCTTATACACATATGTGTGTGTGTGTTTGTTTTTGCCTGCCATGGTGTTGCAGCACTGTGTGTGTGTGTGTGTGTGTGTGTGTGTGTGTGTGTGTGTGTGCGTGCGTGCGTGCGTGCGTGCGTGCGTGTGTGTGTGTAGCACTTGGTGTGTGCTGTTTAATCAGTGGAGGCTGAATGGCTGGCTGGTTATGTGACAAATAGGTTATCTCATCCCACCTCAGTACTTTACCCAATATTTACACGAATTAGGACGAGTTTACAGAGATAGGGGCCAGCAGCTGACAGGATGAAGTGTCTGTGTGTGTGTGTGTGTGTCTGTGTGTGAGATCAGCACTGAGGAGTCCTACTATGAATCAGTCCAATGATTATGTTTAATTTGGTGAATCAATTGAATTTTCTTTATTTAGAAAAGTCGAGGATGAGAAAAATAAAAAAGAGAAGCTAAATGAGGAGAAATGCATAATAATAATCCTGGAATGGATCAATCTACAGAGGTCGTCTTTCAACACCTTCATAACCCTGTAGGCCTGAGGTCAGGGAATTCAGACGCAGGTCTTATCAGGGCAGAGTAATAAGTATCCAACAACCTGAGGAGATAAAACCAGGAAAAACAGATGGAAAAATAAAATGCAATCAATCAATGAGTGAGTTGGCAGCCAAAGCCCTTGGTATTGATCGGTTAGGCCTAGATTTCGCTTGGAGTATTTAGATAAGGGACATTTTTATCTTTACATTTTTGTATATTCCCACAGCTTTTATCACTGTTTAATATATTAACTGAGCTGCACAGGGGGATTTGTACTTTGCTGCTTTTCCCAATAAAACACACATTTAACAATTTAACCATGAAAGATTTAAAACAATCCTACCACAGCTGTGTGGCCTCATCTGATCAGTTTTTAAGAATATATCCTGGCTATGCATCTACAGTAGGTCCTTTGTGTGTGCGTTCTCACAGATACACCAGAGTGTCATGTGTGGCACTGACTCATGGAAGTTACTGATTGAAGGAACAAAAAGTCAACAGAGAAGGAGAGAAAGAGAGAGAGAGAGAATGCAAGCGGAGAGGGAGGAGGGCAGAGAGACGAGGCCTGTGGATAAAAGCTGTGGAGCACTATGAACTCCTTAATCACACACGTTTGACAGACACAGATTGAGTCTGTCAGCTCAGCCAGCACATCGGAGCAGCTGTATCGACTCGGGCTGTTACATATTAACCACACACACGCACGCACACGCACACACCCACGCACACACACAGGGTAGATAATTAGATATGGACACAGACTTCTAGCACCATAGACACAAAAGGAGTCGAGCATGATATGAATTTTTACATTTATTACCCTTCATAATGCACCTACATCGAATTCTACAAATACATTTTCCCTCACTTATCTCTAAAGATTCAGTCACATGCCGTGGTTTCTTGTGACAATCGTTTGACATCTGTTGCTGAGATTTACAATGGAGATTAATGGGATCGTTTTCGTGGGTTGAAATCTCTCAACAGGAAAGAGACTCTCCAGAAAAAGTGGTCTGTGGTCAGTGGATCAAATGGAATGAATTAGATATTGCTGTTCTTTTAATTTGAATTGATTGTTCTTTATCTCGTGAGACACTAAAGTAAAAGTATTGGTTAGGAAACAGATTAAAAGAAAACGATAAAGGTAAAAGTGTTATAATATCCTGATTTATGAGATGATTTTTTACGATGGATGTATTAATGTTATTAGAATTTCAGTGTTGTAATTTCAGTGTAATTTTGGGGTGTTTGTGACCCGTAATGTTTTTTTTAGTATTTTATTAAATCACTGTGGGTTTTTTACTAAATCATAATTTAAAATTTGAATAGTCTGCTTAAATACTGTGAGGACTCATGACATTCAATTAATTTCCATTGTACTGGGGTGAAGTCCCAGAAGGGCTAGGTAAAAAAAAAAAAAAAAGTTCTCCTTATCTCCTTCATGCTCTCCAGAAGAAAAAAGACCTTCACTGGTCATGACAATGATATTTGTGACTGTGGTGCAAGTGTGCAAAGGTGTGACAGTGTGTGTTGACATGATGTGTGTGTGTGTGTGTGTGTGTGTGTGTGTGTGTGTGTGTGTTTGGGATAGGCCTGAGGGTTTGACAAAGGCACAAGGAAATCCCACCTCAGGCCAAACAGAGTGCATGCTGTATCTCTGTGTGTGATAGGTGCGGTGATAGAGTCTGTGTGGTTATCAGAGATGGGGGAGGCATGGTCATATATGTGGATATTGGGCCAGCTGTATTGATCCCGGCCCTGACAGCAGAAGAGGAGGAGGCGGAGGAGGAGGTGAGGGCGACCGGACGAGAAAAGGAGGAGGCTGATAACAGTGTCAACTGACCCAGGCATGTTCACCTGAAGCATGGGAGGGCACCGAGTTAACGCCCAACAGGCTCTCAATAGGCCTCATTCACAAAAAAGTCAGTCAAAGGTTTCATGTGAGAGCATGGCACGGGCACAGGGGTCATCTCCAGTGTTGACACAAGCAGATAGTGTCACCGGATTGTTAGTGCACTCTGAATTTTTTTTTGTTATTCAAACCACGAATAGTTAATCTATTTTATCTTCCAAATAAAATTCCTAAACAAAACAAATGCATCTTGACCAACTTTAATACCCCCAGCCCAGATGGCAAATTTGATTTGGTCCAGAATTGGCCGACATCCCACACATTCCACATCTGTTTCGCTCTTGTTCCACATCTGGGCCACAAAAAAGCAATATAGCAATACCACATGTCAATCAAAGGTGGCCTGAATTTGCTTTGTGTTATTTGGGCCATATTCACTATTCACCACATGGACTGTTTTAGGTTCACATCCAGATTACAACTTAAGAGAACAGCATGTTTAAGGCCCTCGTTTGATTTGGGATATTTGGGTCATATTTGCTATTATACGTGAAGGCAAAATTATGCTTCCTCCATTTTTGTTCAGGCCACAAGAAGTAGGAACACATTGGTGTGATATCTAGGGGGGTGTTTCTGCCACAGGCTTATTTGGACTAGTTTAGGCAGAAGCTTACGGTGACTAATAGTGAATCATTTAAGCTACATTCAGCAAACTTTAAATAGAAACAAACACTGCTAATTCAGTCTGTTTGTTTTGTCGACTCAGTCTCCTCCAGTTATTGTGCAGCTGCTACAAAGTGTTTTAGCATTTAACAGTTTGTCATAAGCTTAAACACTTAAATGTCTGCTTCAATAGCATTTGGATCTACTGTCCTATTATCTACTTTGGACAGCAGATTTATTTATAACCCGTAGCTTAAGGTGGCCATAACAGGGACTAGTGTAGGCTAAAGGTAGCTACCTTAAATAGATACAGACACTGATAATTAGATTTATTTCTTTTGTCGACTTAATGCCCTCTAGTTGTGTAACTGTCAGCATGTAAACTGCTACTATCCATTTTCAAAGAACTTAGACTTAACTTAGGTGGTCTACCTTCAGATAAAGGTGGTCTAGGTTAGATAAAGGTGGTCTAAAATAGATCAAGGTGGTCTAACTGTAGAATGAGATTATGAAAACGTTTCTTAACAGTGGCTATTCAGGCATACATACAAAATGTATGTAAAATGCTACGCCAATGCAACAGTAGCACAAGTGGAGAATGCTAAGCCTCTAATAGTTGTTATATATAGACTATACAAAGATGGATGACCTCCTCATGTTGGGACATGGGCCTTACTAAAAAGTCAGAGAAGACATCACATACATTTCTCACAAAGATGCTTCCTGTGACATTACTGTTCGTCTAAGTTATTTGATCTATCCTCCAATCGCTATTTCGCAGACTCTAGCTCAAAATGCACAATGTGGCAGCGTTCATTTCTGGGATATTCTGGCTTCATTTCTGGGTAAAGGGCGGAGGTGGAGATGTGTCATCCATCTACAGTCTATAATATGGAAACACTGCATATATTAGAAAAAGGCTGGTCGTATCCAATAAGACCAATAAAGCTGTAGGATCTTTTTATAGTGAACTGAGCAACTGTCTATTTTATTGCCTATGACTTTACTTTTTACTCCTTAGTTTTGCTTTAAAGGTCTGTTAGAGGTTGATTTAGTTTCAGCTTTGTGTGGCACAAAGGGCCTCAGTGAAGACTAATTTCTGACAACAATAAATCTCACCTATCAGAGAGCAATATTGGAGGGTTGATAAGATTAGGATTAGAGCAGTAAATTCAATGTGTGTGTGCGTGATTGATGGAGACAGACAGTCGCCTCTCTCCTCGCTCGCGGGCCGCACACAGGGCAGATCGGCCGATAGGGAAGCACACACTGCGAGGAGCCTGTATGACATTTTTAAAGCCTGTATCAATAAACATGAGGGTAGGAGTCATGAACGTTTATAATGCTTGATATCAATGGGATCACTATTAAACTCAGTGGCTTAAATAATTTTCTAGCAACTGTTGGATCAGCTGCACAGCTGAGGGACTGCTGAACACGGCCCATGAAACAGACACATGGTTTTCTAAGCGTGTAAATGTTTTAATATAACTTGTTATTCTTGTAAAAAGGGTTTTACATTTTCCAGTTGCAGTGAGATAGGACACCCCTCTTCTTTCCTCCCCATTGGTACATCCCAATAAGGTAAATAGAGCACAGGTGAGCTGCAGGTCAGTAAGTATCCTGCCCCTTAACAAATGGTTTTGTGTGTGACCACAACACCACATCTGACATCTCTTATTAAAGATGGGGGAGAGGTTGCAAACTCAAAAAAGCTACGTTTGCTCATTTTTTGATTGTGATGCTAAGTTCAGTAAGTCGTGGAAGCTAGAGGCTCACCTTTGCAAACACACAGGATTGGTAAGTGGCTCTGAACTTGAAGGAGCCAAACAGAATAATGGATAATGAATCAAGACGTATATCAAAACAGGAAATGTTTGTTTGAGTATTTGTTGATTTGTGTGTCGAATGTTTCCTGAACTTCAGAAACCGTTCTCCTGTGAGAACTGTGACAAGAGCTTTTGCACTCGCTATCAACTCAGCAGACATGAGCTCAGTCACAGTGGGGAGAAACCACACAAGTAAGCCACTGTTTCCCTGTGTGAAAGTATTTGATAAAGTAAAATATATTTTGGTGTTTCTCAAGCTGTTTTTTACTGTTCTGACCTGTTGTGTTTCCTGCTGTGGTCTCCAGGTGTATGGCTGACGGGTGCTCTGAGGCCTTTGTCACAAACACCAGCATGAAGAACCATATGGCTCGAGTTCACCAGCACCAGGAGAAGCGATACAAGGTATAATCATCTTCTAAGAAATGTCTTGTTTTAGTGTGTTGGTCTCTTCCTGTGTTACCTTTCGTGTCCCTCAGTGCGACCGTCAGGGCTGTGGCAAATATTTCAACAAGAGGAATCAGCTTAAATCCCACAAGGGCGAGCACGATCAGCTTCTGCCTTTTCAGTAAGCAGCTTCATGTCTGACACAAGAATAACAACTCATCTGTCCTTGGGCCATCTCTAATCTGATCTTGTATCTTTTGATACAGTTGTTCTTTCAGTGGCTGCACAAAAGAATTTGCCTCACATGGAAAACTGAAGCATCACAAGAAAATACATGAAGGTTGGTTTGGAGCAGAAAGCTTCCATTCTTTTTTTTTTTTTCTTCTTCTTAATGCTGTTACGAATGAGCCCTGACTTTATTTTTTGCTGCAGGTTACCCCTGTGAGGCAGAAGCGTGTCCTTTCCAAGGAAAGACATGGACAGAATATATGAAGCACATAAAACAACATAAAGGTATGAGAGTAAAACTGGGAAGTGGTTTGTTTTGTTGCATTTCATATCTTGCTACTCATGCTGTTGAGTCACTGATGACAAATTTATTCTGTTGACATCTGTGTTCTCAGTCAAGCTGCTGTGTGGTGAGTGCAAGAAGCAGTTCAACAACACCTGGTTCCTGCACCAGCACAAGCTGCGTACCCACTCTGGACAGAGGAGGAAGCTGTCGTGCCCCAGACAGGGTTGCAACAAAAACTTTACTCGTCGTTTCAACTTGGAGAGTCACGTACTGGGTGACCATGACAGAAAGAAGCCATTTAGCTGTGCCTACGCCGGCTGTGGGAAGAGGTTCGCCATGAAGGCAAGTCTGCACTTAAGTCATTTCACTCAAATCAACCCACTTCCTGCTAGTTGTTGTTGTTTAGGTTTTAGATGTGCTGCATCCCCAAAACAACGAGTAAAAAGTGCAGATGAATGAAACTAAATTTCAACAATACTAATGGTACTGTTCAGTTACTAGATAATCAAGTTCTTCTACAACTATTTTTACCCGGAGCTATTTTCCACAGAGGAAAGTAAAGTGTAATCTGTTCAGATGATCCTAAATTAGATGTTTTGAAAGACATTTGAGTTTTAAGTAACATTCATTATATCTTCTGTCTCTGTGGCATATAAATACAAAAATAGATCAAGTAAAACAATGTACCTGGTTAGACACCACTAGAAATGAGTTTTTGTAACACTTGATCCATTTAATTGCTTTTGCTAGTGTGACTGGTAACTGGTCTCATTGTTTATCAGGAGAGCCTGTGGCGACATGGAGTGATGCATGACCCAGCAAAGAAAAAGCTGAAGGTAACGTCCT